TATGTAGTGTGTTTATTTATAATCTACCCCGAAACCCTCGCACTTTGTTTATTATTCACTTTCGTTTGATGACGCTCGCAATTTGCTGGCAACAATAAAAATAGCATGGAGATCTGTTTACCATTTATAATTCGTGCTATTTAAGCGAATTGTTTTACGTAAGGTATTTAGTCGATTTCAATATGTCGGTAATTCAGCTGACATAAATAAATTCATGTTTGTATTCATACCCACGCAAAGTTTGATGCACTTCAAGGCTATGGCGAGGGGGGGACACGCGTGCCAGGCCCGGATGTTTGGTACGGACGAAATCGCTGTACTACTTGATATGTCTCAATTATGTAGCTTACGTTACTGTCCTGCACGCTTTCGCAAAAGTTCAATAACTCTTCGCCCAAATGACTTTNTTTGCTGGCAACAATAAAAATAGCATGGAGATCTGTTTACCATTTATAATTCGTGCTATTTAAGCGAATTGTTTTACGTAAGGTATTTAGTGGATTTCAGTATGTCGGTAATTCAGCTGACATAAATAAATTCATGTTTGTATTCATACCCACGCAAAGTTTGATGCACTGCAAGACTATGGGGATGGGGGGACACGCGTGCCAGGCCCGGATGTTTGGTACGGACGAAATCGCTGTACTACTTGATATGTCTCAAGTAAGTAGCTTACGTTATTGTCCTGCACGCTTTCGCAAAAGTTCAATAACTCTTCGCCCAAATGACTTTCAACATTGATTCAATTGACGCTTGCCAGTAGAAAATTTCAAGTGTGTGCGCTCTACAGTTTCAATTAACCCANAGTTGCTGGCAAGTTACTGGATAATTTGTAAAAAAACACAACTATTGATTCAATTGACGCTTGCCAGTAGAAAATTTCAAGTGTGTGCGCTCTACAGTTTCAATTAACCCTTACATTTGGCATTCAAAGCGATAATAAACAAAATAGCCAGAAAACACTCCTCCTTCGATGCAAAATGGCGACCAGCGAAAGTAGGCGATTGGCATAACGGTTTCAGTATCAACGGAAAACGTGAGCGAAATAAGCTATAACATATGCGTGATGAATGGTTATTTATAACTTACAAAAAAAAAAAACAAGAAACAATTAAATGTAAACACTTGTAAATCAAAATGTACGGTAGAGCAAATCATTCGTTCTAGATATGTATGTATACCAGGGTGGTCCGAAAATGCATGTGAAAAAGTTAGGCCGGAATATTTATGCTCTCATCCCCTATGATTGTTCTATACCGAAAAAATAGGCCCCTATTTTTTATTTTGAAATCAAAAAATATTTAGAGGTCGCTCCAACTTTTCCGTGTACATACCTTTTTTGTATGGGAAGAAACCACTTTTCGTAGAAATGGTCTAGAGTTCTTGAAAATCAATATTATTCGATCGGAAAATTCTGTTTCTCTTCAGCAGATCACCAGTAATAATACACAATTATTTATTTAAAAATTTGTTTATAGTAACTATATTTTATAGATCCGCCAAAACCACCAGAAAATGCAATAGGGGATAAAAAAATTTTAGTATTAAAAAATGGCCAAATAAACCAATGGGTATTATTATTGGAAGCCTCCTGAAGAGAACCTGAGTTTTACGGTCGAAAAATATTGATTTTCAAGATTTCTATACCATTTCTAGGAAAACTTTTTTTTTCCCATATAAAATACATGGAAAACTTTGAGTGCTTTGATTTCAAAATAAATAATAGGGGTATATTTTGTTGACATAGAACAATCCTATGAGGTGAGAGAATTAAAATTCCGATTTTACTTATTTTGAACCACCCTAATGAATACACATATGCACATTTCCATGCATATACTACCGCACAAGCAAACAGTCTTTAATTTACCGGCACTGGGTTGGTACGTTGGGGTGATCAAAACTGAGATCTGGTGTGTTAATATTAGAATGGGGTAATGAACTTTGGAAAAAATTTCTCCCCAAAGCAAGAACGCGATATACATATCTACTTAAAGTTCCAATTAATAAATGCCGAAGATATAGCGAAAAATATAATAATGTGAGCCCCAGATTCGGCAAAAATTTATATAGGTAACACTTAAACAAATCATTAACAGCTATACCAGTTGGACGGTCAAGTAGCAGATGCTGAGAAGCAGCTGTTACAGTACGGTCTTGAGGAGATGTTGATTGAGTTAGCCAGTTAAGACCATCCAGCAGCCTCGAGGCATGCATCTTGTTTAGCTGCACGAGCTCTTTAAATTGCTTTCTTTCTTCCTGCGGTCAGATGAACTGAGCAACCTTAAATTCCTAGGTTTTCACCTAGCGCTCGCTAATCTGTCCAGTTGCCTATCCTTTTAAAAGAAGACCAAATAAGGCCAATGTAGCCTCCACATATTCGGCGAAAGTTCCTAAAAAGTGCGCTGGCGCTGTATTTTCAGTTCAGTGGACCTTCGATTTTCACCAACATCGCTACGATAGCAAAGGAAGCATTGAAATGATTTCGGGAATCTCAGTAGAAGGAAACACTTCCATTTTTCATACCATCCAACTTTGATCCATCCGTAAATAAATGTGCCGCGCTCTGATTCCAAAGATTCTTCCTTGAAGGAAAGAACTTGCCTTCCAGTCAGACCCAGCATCGGTATTCATTAGTCCGCTAAGTCCGCATGAACTCAAAGCTTTTTAAAATTTAGAAGTGCTCATAGTTACTTCTAAGCAACGCCTGAGTATCTGATGGCGCCAGATTTCAAATAGGACAGGGCCTACCACTCTATTTAACCATGTAGATGTGGTGGCCTTATCTAGTGCATTCTACCATACGTAGTCCCTCTTAAACCGGGTCAAGTGACGGTTCTACTGATATGCCCTAATTTTAGCATAAATGCTCCCTGAGGTCCTGTTTTTGAAGTACAGTTCAATCATCCCTCCCAAGGTCTTTGATAGAAACATTGAAGGACTGATTGACCTAAAGTCCCTAGGCTAAGCCAGCGATAGCATGCCTCCTCAGATATTTCTAGCTGAGCAGTTATGAAGCGATCGGGACCCGGAGACTTCCAAGTGCTGGATGAGTTTAATAGCCATGAGCAGGCTTTGCTCGCTCAATAAATTTAAGTTATCGAGGCACTCAGAATTCATGCTGACCCTCACTGGTTCCGAATGACTGGGAAAGTGATTACCAAGGAGTAATTCCAGTGACTCCTCCATTCTAATCATCCGATTTCCCGCCTCGTCCTGCAGACACCTCATGGGAATAGGTTTCTCGGAGCAGAAAGTTCCTTCATGCCATTCGCTTGGCTCTTCTAATCTCTGATTGAAAGCACAATTTTACGTTGTTGGCAGTCAGAGCAAACCCACTTCTTGCATTCTTGAAAAGATGTCGACTTAAATCCTATATATAAAGAGCTTTCTTGTCCACCAGAGCAATTTGGCCTTTCCCGTGTGAAAGATCAGAGGACGAGAGGCCAAATGTACATATAAGTATAAAAATTAAAGTATAGGCATTTCGTTTGTTGAGCACCGGTGCTGGAACGGATGGCGGTCTGTGAGGATACGATAATTCGCTTAGGATGGAAAGCTGCGAACAAGGCGTGGCTTCTTTGAAAGCGGCGGTGACTACTCCCGCAGTTTCAATTACCGTCGAGCTAAATGCTTGGAGAGTTGCAAGAAAGTTCCGTTAGATTTAAGAGATTCGATAACAGCCTTTCTGCCAGAATAAAAAGCGATAGGCCGTCCTGGAGAGGCGGAGGTTATGAGCCTCCGAGCGGCGTTTAGCTCTGCTTGAAAAACGCTGCAATGGTCCCGTAAGCGAAAACTGAGGTTAAGCGCGAGTTCGCCAGAGTAAATTCCGCTACCCACTATTTCGTTAAGCTTGGACCCATCTGGGTTTAAGTCTGTGATGCTTTCCCATTCGTTCCTTTTTGGAATTCTTATGGAGAATTCGTTGTCTAAACAGAATAGAGGAGTGGCATAATCTAACTTTCCTGAAGCGGTCTTTAATGTTTCGCTTCCAGTCCAGTTTATTGTCTAGAATACCTCCGAGGTATTTGACCTCGGTGGAGAGAGTAAGTGCCACCCCGTTTAGGGTGGGAGGTTTAAATAGAGGAGCTTTATATCTAAGAAAAACAACACATGTTTGGGTCTGGAATCTTTTTTGGAGTCTTTCTATTTAATTTATTGCATTTTTACATAAATCTCTTATTTTTTTATTGTTTTACTTTGCGCTTTCGCTTACATAAACAATTTTGGAAAGAGTGTCTTGTGTAGTACAAATTTTAAATATGGAAATTTTTTTTACATTTTATCTTAAAAATTAGATTGTCACTCATACTGATTGTTTCATAATCTGTTTCATTGTTTGGTATCCAAACTTATTTCACTGAATTTTTTAGCATGTTTCTTATTCAAAAAATTAATAAACTTAAAGTTTTTATAAATAATGTTCAATATGTATACTACAAAAAAATCTCGGTAAGAAAAAAGATTTCTCAGCAAATTGCTTTTCATACAGGTTCGCTTACAATTCCTAAATAGTGCTGAAGGCATACTCATCGATCTTCCTGTGGAAAACTTTTTAAATTAGGTAAAATAAGGCACAAAAAATGGTGAATAATTTACTCCAAAGGCTTCAACAGTGTGTGTATAAAATAAATGTTTATTTGCTCTTAAAAAAAATTAACTTTCAATAAATAAATTTTTACGGCCCACGGCCACATACAAAATTGCAATTGGATTGTTGNTTAAAAAAAATTAACTTTCAATAAATAAATTTTTACGGCCCACGGCCACAAAATTGCAATTGGATTGTTAAAAAAGCACCACTAAGCTGGCACCAATTCCGTATTATATACTTTCGATGTGTTGCATACTTTTAGCGGCAACTGTCTTTTTTCGTTCATTATGTTTATTATACGCTACGTGCCAACATGAAATTATGCCGACTTTAACTTTCACTCGGTTTTAGCTATACTTCTGGCTCAGTGGATTTTATCACGCTGACTATATGCTGCTGCATAATGTTTTTTTTTTAATCTTGGTACATTTTTAGTGTTACTAATACACATATACCTATTTATCGCACTTAAATTCACTATAACTTAGCGTTAAAAATTCAAAAAATAAAAATAAAGTCAATATTCTTAAACAACTAACTGTCTGCCTGTTTTCATCTACATAACTTGCACAGCTTTAAATCGCGAGCGTATAACCGAATTTCGAGTTGCTTCTTATTCTTAAACGCTCGAACGCTCATCACTTATTGTCCTGTTTCGCGTATATTCCCCGTCGCCGCAGCTAAACCATTGTCCACGCCCGTTAGAAAGCGTGGATGCGCACCATTCGTTGTCAGCGTCGTTGTTGCTGGCATAACAGATGCTGCTGGTTCCTTAACGTCATTGGCTGGATTGTCCCACCATTGACGTTCACCGGAACCGAAGATGTTATAGAAAGTCGCGCAGAAAATATACACGAAGGCAGCAATGAAGAAGACGATCTGCCACTGACCCATGGTAGGCTAATGGGGAGAGAAAAAGAGAAGGGGGAAGGAGACTTGGTTAAGTGTGAACATGAAAAATTAAGGCGAAATGCGAGCCGACCGTCAACACGTCAGCAGCAGTTCTGAAAAGCGACACAGTTACGAGTTAATCAACTTACTTTATTATTAATTAAATTGCCAGCGGCAATGGGCGCCAGCAGACCAGCCAAGTTTGCCAAGCAATTTGTGATGGCCATCAGGAAGCCGGCAAAACGTGGCGATAAATCCAAGTGATTGATTTTGAAGCCAGAGTAGATACCCCCGTTAAGACCCACGCCCACCGTGAGTATGGCAAGCGTTAAGGCACGATCACAGCCAGTGTATGAGGCGAGAATAAGCGCAATACCAGGACAATATTGACCTATGGGGTGGGGAAAAAAAAACGATAACGGTTAGATAAAATCGTTTTAAAATCAAAAATTTTAAGACCCCGAACTAAATACTCACCAATACTGTTGATAATCTTTCTTGTCGATGTGTGTGTGAAACGATTGGACGTGATCATCCAATCCGCAATCACCGAAATGAACATCGAGAAGAGCCACATAGCCAGATAGGGCAGCGATGACAGCAAACCGTTGGCCTTCAGCGAGAAGCGCAGCACTTGCTTCATGTAAGTGGGCAACTCTGTCATTAGCGTCTCATAGCCATAGTTGTGACCCATGTGGGCAAGCAGAATGGCATAGAAAGGCAGGCACTTGGCGATAGACTTGAAGGGTATGGCAGGTACCTGAAAAGTGTTCAATGAAGAAATAGTAGTAGTGAGAAGAGAATCAAAGTGAAACTACTAAACTAGTTTTCTATTGTTATCTTAAAAAAAAAATATTCCCCCCAAAAAGTGTGCCACTCACACTCACCTTTTGATCGCCTGTACCCCAAAGACTTGTATTGATGTACTTCTTTTCACGCTCATCGATGCGTGGATGTGATGAGGGATCCTCATAGACTAGCCAAAGGAAAGCTATAGACCAAACTGTGCCAACAGCGCCGAAAACATAGAAAATCGACGGCCAACCACCAGCAAAACCATACTCGGCCAACAGACCCGACAGCGGCATCGAAATAATTGTACCAAATTGTGCGCCTGCATAGACAGCGGCACCCATACGTGAACGCTCATTGGGTGGTATCCATTTGGCGAGTAACGCATGCGTACATGGCACAATGGGGCCTTCACCGAGTCCCTGTATAAAACGTATCGCACAGAGACCATAGACACCACCTTCGTAGGCGGCAACTGGCACGAGGAAGGCGAAAACCGAATTGAGCAACATACCCCAGCCGAGGAAGTTCATGGCGCCGTATTTTTTCGCTAAAATACCGAATGGAATCTGTGGAGAAAAGAGTGTGGAAAAATTTTTAATTGCAGTATAGAATTATGGATGAAGTGCAAGTGCTTAATTCAGTGCAGGGATTATTTGAGTTGTAAAAAATGTTTAGAAATAAACTTACCTGCGTTATCACATATCCGTAGAAGAATGAAGATAAAATATAGCCCTGTAAACTTGAACTCCACGCGAAGCTGCCATCTTGTCCATTTTCCTGTTGGATGCAAAAAATTAAAAATTACATTAGCTATATTTATCAATTGAAGGATTTTTTCGACTTTTTAAAGTTTTTTTTGAATTGAAATATCGGTTCTTTCAATAAATACAAATTAAGAACAAACTGAGGAGTGCTATCAACGCCTAAGCTTTCTTTAGTGCAGATTAGAAGGTGAGCACGTTGAACGTAGTGAGGATCTTCGGTTAAGTTAGACAACGAAATTGCTCATTTTGACGGGCCTAAGCCCTGCAAACGAAAAGAAAGTGAATCAGTAGAAGAAACACTGGCTGTTCATAAAGAAAATCCACTAGCTGCTTATCCCGTCACAGGTTTTATGAAACGCTCTGAGACGCTTAAACCGTGGCCTCCAAAAAGCAGCGTACTTAACATAATTAGCTTGAGACGTTCGTATAACTTTATCCCTCAAACAGCAGTACCTATAGTCCGTGTAAAATAGTGATATGTCTTGACTATGGCGCTCCCACTAGGCAGCGTCCGGTCAGACGCTTGTTAGTATCGAGGGTTGCTGCTCAGGTATTTCAAGAAGCTTCTTCAGCCATCGACCTTGCATTAGGAAAGTTTCGCTGAACGGTCGCTGAGCTCATTTAAAGCCTATATCGCCAAGAGTAGCCCGTAGGCTATGATAAGTAACTTCTATACCATGTTACGCGAAACGATCTCGACGGTGACCTGCCTTATTAAATATTCTGGAATGTAGAGGCGCTCACATCAGTCTGATCTCGAAATATTCAAAACCGACCTAGTCAGAAATTAGCCAGTTTAGGACTTATAACCTAAGTTCCCAGTTGCGCAATGCTTATCAGAATATAACAGTGTTGAACTCTCAAAACGCTGCGGAATTCTGAAAGTCTACACTGGTGGTTGACTTAGAGCTCTTGACAAAAAAACCTCGACTCATCCGTGAATACATTTAATGGGCATACGTCCTCGTGTAGAGAAGTATCCACTTGAAAGAAGTATATTAGTATGACCGAACTTGTGTTATTCACCCGAAAGAACAAGTTCCCCAAAAGAAACTGTTCCTTCGGTTAGAAGGATATGTCTGTTGCTTCCCGACTTGGTCTGAGATAGGAAGCAGTCGGGGAAACCTAACATTGACCATAGGGAGAGGAAGGCATAACCTTATATTACTACAGGCAATCTATTGTTAAAGGATCGGATATCTCGACCAACGTTAGTTCTTGTCCCTATATGAAACTCTCGTTTATTGGAATTCTTAGGGAATCCGTATGCCTAAGAATCTCAGTGTCAATACACGGTAAAATTCTTGAGAGTTCGGCTACTTACACGGATCACTGTGCCGCCTAAATGACCAAAAGCAGCTCTTTCTCTATACACATTACCTGAAGGTATGAGAAAGGTAGGAAGCAGTGAAATTTATCACGGTTGGGTAGTCGCTTGTTGGGAGGTCTGATGGAGGTCTAATACCATTAGCTCTCCATCAATATCAACTTTAGACTTTCAGTCGTCTGTAGCGCTTTTTAGACGGATGTGGTTGCCGTTAAAGACTCTCTAGATGCACTTATTAAAAGTGTGACCTCAATAAGGCAGGCATTGGCGGCGAAGGGTACACTTAAAATCATATCAGCGGAAAGGAAGCGAATGAGAGCGCCACTGACTATTTGTGGTTTAGTTGGTCTGCTTCAGTATAATGTCAACTCAGCGAAAGGCGGTGAAGAAAAATAGGCTATGCGCAATTGCAAAGCTCTGACTAGATCGTGCGCTGTCAAAGGGGCTCTTTATGCTCACTATGCAATCGGAATTCACACATAAGACTGAAAATTACGTCTCATCCTTTCTACCACAATTGCCTGGTGGATAAATACACTTTCCAGTAGCGTGTCCAGCTTTTGCGAGGCTAAGATTAGAGTATCATGGATGAGAGAATGGCGCCTTATGTAGAGAATCCGTTCAACAAAGACTAAAGATGAAGCAAAAAAACTAAGCATTTCTTGGCTACGCGCCTGATCTTCCGCTTCAATTCGTTACATTTCTTTGAGAAGACTTTTCTTGGAAACAATTTTCGAATTTTCTCTATGAAAAGCACGACTGCTCTAAAAGCGCAGTCACTTAAAACCTTTAGAGTATTTTAAAGTTCTCAATTTCGAATATTTTCGGTTTCAATAAAACTTTCATTAACCAACATGCATTACTCACCACCACAGTTAGATTTTGATGTGGACACTCATCGTCTACGACATCTTCATTACCGCTGGAGATGGCTGTATGATTGACCATAGCCACAATAGCCACAGACATATTTGTACGCATCACATAGGCATTGGCCATGCCCAAGAAGAGCATGAAAGTAACAAAATAACGTGTGGAGAAACATCCTGAAATGGTAGAAAGAAAATAAGAGAATTAATTAAAGCTTAAAGCAAAATTATTTAGTGACAAAAGGGCAGAATAAAAATACATTTAATATAGCTAAAAATGGCATTCCAGAATAACTGCAAAGCCTTATAATTGACATGTGTATAAAGTAGTTATTAAACTAAAACACTATTCTTGCAGATAAGTATGAAGTCGCTAATTGAGAGGGGTAAAAACATCTTTTATTTTGTTTGAAAGTTTTTTTCTGAGAAAATCGTTTGTAGGCATCTTAGATACATGGAAAAATACGCAAGTCGTTAATTGGACGTTCAATTTACATACATATTTATCGTTTGAGCGGCATAGTCGGCGCCTTGGCAGCTACAAATCGCAGCTGAAGTGCTAAAAGCTTGCAAATTAGCCAAATCGTGCTGCTCCATCATACACGTAGATAAATTTGAAGTGTAATTTTTGATATTTGTAAGTGAATGAAGAAGGGGGAACATTTTATGAAAAAAACTCCTAAGTCCAGGCTTGAAAGAAGTTTTCAAACGAATTTGGATAGTTCTGTGACGATTTTAAAACTCTCGAGGTCTTCAAGGCTTTTCGAAAAAAAAAATTCTGTACGATTTATTATTTAAAAATTATTTTTACATTTGTTAAAACATTTCTAATTTCCGGCTATGGATCGCAGTCGCGCAAAAGCGTCACTGATCTTTATCAAGACAAGTGTTTTTCCTCTGAAAATACTAAAGGGATTTTCTAGCACTGCGCGTGTAGCAGATTGACAAGATGATTTCCACGAAATGCTGGATTTAATATAATTAAATAGACATACATATCTGCATACATACATACATATTTAAGTACTAAGTTTTGCGCTGCGCTTGTTTGAATGTTCAATGACAAGCTATTAATATTTTGCAAAAATAGCACAGAGCAATTGAAATTTTGCACAAGCTTGGTATGCCTGGCAATTGTGTGGCAAAAATATTTTTTGGCACATATTTTTTTTTTTCATAAAGGGAACTAAAATTACGCGCCTTACTGAAAATAAAACTTTAAGTTAAAAAATTTTCAAAATCCTTCCAGACGCAGAATTCTCACAGGACCCGGATTTGACCGAAAATTAAGTTGGAAAATAAAAATTATAGTATTTTGCCAAGTTTATAAATTCAAATAAATTTGAAAGCGGATTTTAAGAGCATTCGTAAAAAAATAACAAAAATGTGGGGCCCTGCATATGACGAAATTAAGTGAACCGTTGCTTCTAATAACTCAGGCAGAGTCGCATACATTTAGCCAAATCTCAGCTTTTGCTTATGAATGAAGCTATGCCAAATGATTCTCAAAAATTTTGGTCGATCGCGAATTTTTCAAAATGAAAAGGCACGAACGAAAAATAAAACTATCTACACTGGTAAGCAAAAGTGAGTGCATGGCGTTTTTTGTTTAATATTTGCAATGTTTTTCAAGTTAGAAATTTCTTTGTTTTCTTTTTTTTTGTAAAAATATGGTTCATGCTTTAATCTAAACCTCATAAATCAAACTTTCAAACTTTATACAGAACGTAGAAAAATTCAAAAATTTTTTATATAAATTTTGAACTTTTTAATCTGAATTTTAAGCCGCTAAAAAATCCCGTTGATTTTTAATGAATTTTTTTCCGACGCATTTTGCGGTTTTATGCATATGTATAAAATATTCCGTTAATTTTTTAAATTTTGTTTGCAAACGATCTTGCGCATTTTACTGTACAATAAATTTACTTTTATATGGTAAAAAGTGCAAAAAGCCGTCAGCAATAGAAAAATCATTAAAAATCAACGCGGTTTTTTAGCGGCTTAAAACTTTTACTTGTTCCACTAGAATTACAAAATACACAATTTTTCTAAAAATTCAGATTAAAAAGTTCAAAATTTAGATGAAAATTTGTTGAATTTTTCTACGTTCTGTATAAAGTTTGAAAATGTGGCTTATGTGGTTTAGATTAAAACATGAGCCACATTTTTATAAAAAAAAAAACAAAAAAAAAATTAACTTGAAAAACTTTGCAAATATTTTACTTTAGATCGCCAGTGTATGTATGTACATAGGTATGCCCTAGCCTAATATTTGCCTCACAAACTTCATGGCTGACATCAAAAATATTAACAGCTTTCTACTTTGGTTACCTAACATTGACAGGCTCGCAGCTGGTACATTTAAATCATAAACACAGCCCACATATAACTGAAGGTTCATCAGAAAAACAATTGGCTTCGATTTAATTAAGTGCTGAATTAATGTGATGATAAGATACAGACATATGTACATATGTATGAACACAGTTACCTACATACATAAGCATTCAAGCAATAACAAAAAAATGAACACAAAAGAAGAGGAAAATGAACTATCAACGAAAGTACTGCGAAAAATTCTGTAATCAGCAATACAACATAAAATTAATCGACTGTCACAGTGAGGGAGTACTTAATTTTCTCTAATAAATGTTCACCCTAAATATTAGACATTAAGTGTGAATATAAAAGCGTTTTTTTTTTTGGCTAAATTTTTGAGCTTTTAATGTCTGTGAATTTCCGCAGACGTCAGTACTCGTGCGATATGTATGTATTGTATTTAGTTAAGCACACGTGCATGACCGCGCCAATGGTAATGGAAAGCAACAAGCGACATGAAAAACGATACATAAATACATTATCTACGCTGTTGACAATAGTGAAAATTCTTGAAAAAAGAAGGCAAAAATAAGACGTGAAAATGAGCTGAGTAGCAATTAAAGGAAAGAAATATGCTACGTATGTATGTATGTAACTGTCACTTTTTGTCTACGCTTAGCTCAGCATGTCGGCCGATTTTGTAAATATTTACTTGTTTTTCCGTCTACGGAAAAGGGAAATGCTGGCTTATGCAGAAAACAAAAGTGTGGACTTATTGAGTTATGTGCATACATATGTCTGTATTTGCAAGAAGACTATTGTACGCAATGCCTGAATGGCGTTGATAAAACATTTTCAAACTTACCCAAGGAGAAACGGAAAACTTTTAATTTTTTTTTGGCAATTTACCATAAACATGGAGTATTACTACAAAAATCTTATCGCTAGCCATTATTAAAAATTCATAAGAAGAATTTATTTTTAATTAATTTTTTTATTAAAAAAAAATTTTTATAACATTTTTCTACCAAACGAAATGATGGAAAGGCAGAGATTTTGAAATGCGAATTTATTTTTCTTTACAATTTTTTGTTGAAATAATAAAAAAAATGGTTTTTCAAAATTTTTCTACTAAACGAAATGATGTAGGTGAGAGCAAATACTTATCTTGAAATGCGAATATCTTGTAGATTTTGTTTTTTGCTATGGATTTCAAAAAAAAACTAAATTTTTTATTGCACCATTTTGAAAGTTTTATAAGAAAAATACGCACACAAAAAATATGTATGTAGATATCTGTTTTCAAAAAAAAAAAAACATTTTTAATGATTTTTTTATATTTTGCTTTATTAAGCGTCAAAAAAGCTCTTAAAAAAATTGCGAGTAATTTTTAAATACTTTTCAAAAAAATGAACTTTTAAGCTGTTTTATTATTATTATTATTTTTGCTTAATTTGAATATGTTAAAAGAGAATTTCATTTTATTAAAAAAAAAAAATGAAAAAAGGTCAGAATGCAAATATTGTCTGTGAAATATATGTATATAATTTTTTTTTTTTACTTTCAAGACTTACAATTTAACGGAAAAACTGATTCATTTTTTTTTTTGTTTAATTGCCTACTTCATTAATTGAAAGTTATATTTTTTTTATTTGCGAAAAAATTCGAGGAAATTTTATTACACACATTTCGAAAATAGTGAACATTTTTTTTTAGCTCAAAAAAGATTTAGCTCAAATATTTCATGCTAATTTTTATTAAAAAAAATCATTTGTGGAAAATAGTATTAAATGTATGCTTTGAGAATTTAAATGTCTTTAATCTATAGCTGCCATGAAAAACAGCTTCTCACAAAAATACAATCGCCGTTCGGAGTCGGCTTAAAGTTATAGGTCCCTCCCTTTTGTATGGCAGCATCAAGGCGCTTACCACAATTGTAAGTGACAATTTCATACAAAATTTTTGATTTCTATATTCTTCTGATATTTGAAGATTAAAAAATGCTTCATAGTTAAAAGCCGCAGACTTTGACTAAAAGCTTCCTTCAAATTGTAAAGCTTTGCATTAGTGTGAAACAATCTCTGCAACAATGAATTTTGCAAACGTCATGAACATAAAAAAAATACGCTAAACACTGGGGTGGAACAAACACAAGGTAAATTACGCCAAAGTCTCGTGAAAACCGGACAAATCTAAAGAAATCATGCGAGGGCGGGGACTCTAATTACATATGCAACTACATATAAATTTTAAATACCTATAAATACTACAAATATACATATGCAAGAACATTAGGGTACATCACTCTCCGCACATAAAAATCGATACGCTTTTTCCAGCGAAATAATAAAATTTATTATATTATTTTAAGACTTCTGCCAAAATATTTCGGTGGATCAGTAAGATTTGCGTGAGCTGGGCCGATTGAAAATACATCCAATAATCAAGTTGTTTATAAATAAAATTAGTTTTAAAAAATAACTTTTTCAATAAAATCTCCCCAGCTGATAGAAAAGTTTAAGCTCAAAAGCTCTGCTTATTTTGTTTTTGGTTATTGGCTTTTGGATTTTGATTATTATAATTTTTCTGCATGAAAAAGTTGAAGCTCAAAAGCTCTGCTTACTTTGTTTCTGGTTATTGCCATTTGAATTTTAAATTATGAAAAAATGTTTAAACATTTTATCAGCGTAATCAAAATAATGAGATTTGGTATGCTTTTTTCAAATATGTACAGCTCACATAAATCTTAACATTTTCCCGAAATATTTTGGCGGATGTCTTAAAATTAAATAAGTAAAACCACAACTTTTTTTGGCGAGGCACCCTAATGTATATAGTATATGTGGTTCATAGGAACA